ATTTCTCGAAGGTTTTCTTGATCCTTTCAACATTTTCGGTCCTGCCTCTTCTTGACAGGACGATCAAGCTCACATCGTCCATCAGTCTTAGACCGAAGATGTCCCGTCAAAGATTTCCCATACTCTTCAGGAAATTGTACTCTACATATGCACATTATGCACGCCAGAGGTGGGCTGGTCCCTTTTCCCATTGGGATACCCACGACTTGTCTCAAGAGCACTCCTGTCGCTCTCAGCTCGAATCTCACAAATTCGACGATCTGCTTCAAGTCGATCTTCTTCCAGTGATCATCCCCGGTTGTATGTCCATAGCTGCTTCCTTTTCCCCTCGGATTGACTCTCACGTACTTCCTGCCTTTGCTCAAATGATAGTCCGCTAACCATTCCACTGACTTCACAATCTCCTCATGAGGTAATCTGTTGAACATGTCTTTGATGTCATACGACATCGAGACAAGTTCACATCTTCCATTCATTCAGCATTCCAACCTTCGGTTGAACACTTCTATCCTTGAAGCTACCGTAGTGACAGATCTCAGGTTGAAGTGCCAATCGGCTGGCAATGTAAACAGCATGTGGTTCAGAGCCCTCGACCGGATTAAAACAGAATGCCGAATTAAAACAGAATACCGAATTGAAATCAGAATGCCGAATTAAAACAGAATACTAATTTATACAGAATAACGAATTAGAATCAGAATACCGAATTAAAACAGAATATCGGATTAAACAGAATACCAATTAAACGGAATACCGAATTAAACAGAATACCGGATTAAAACAGAATCCCGAATTGAAAGTCAAAATACCGAATTGAAACGGAATGCCGAATTTAAAACAGAATACCAAAAAAAAAATTGCAACTTTGAATCTCGATAGTGATGCAGAACTGATTTGGAAAATCGAATTAGCAATCTATTTCCTAATCAGAATTACCTTGTGAGCAGATCCATTGATTGGTCTGCTCCGATACCAAAGCTGTTGCATACTCGTGAATACTTCAACAAGTATGGGCAGAACCAAAGATCAACCAATATAGGATGAGCATGTATGCAGTGGAAGTCTAATAAATGGACTGACTCACATAGACTGAACTCACGCAGGTATCACTCAACACACAAACAATCGTGAGATGGTGGGGTCTAAGCCAATCATGGACGATGCTTAAGCCCCGTTCAACCATACACAGATGAAAGGTGGGAGGAGAGACGAAGGAGGTGGGAGATGTAGGCAGCGCCAAATGTAACCGAGATAGAATCCAGTAGGTCACCGATATGGTAGTCCAAAATGTCATCGAACAAGATCAAAATGTCGTGGACAATCAGTCACCAATGTCGGAGGTACAAAGTCCTAATGTAACCGATGCGCCTCCTTTCCCCTAAATCGGGTGGGCCATAAACAGATAAGACACCCCAGGTGTCTTCTTCCCATTGCAATACGACCCAGGCCCAGTGACCCCGTGTATCAAAAAACCAGTCGGCGAGAGTCCCTTTAAAGTGGGGAGAGACGAGCACCGCGACCCCACCACACGTGCCTTGGGTTGGCGCCCACACTTGAGGCCCCTTCCACCATATCCGGAGGGTTTCGATCTTGGAGGCATTTAGCTTGGTCCCTTGGATACAGGCGACATCGATCTGGTGTGATGTCACCAATCTTCTCAGCTCCCTTCGCTTCGGCAGAAGGGATCGAGCCCCTAGCCCCCTTGCGTTCCATGTCAAAATCTTTAGTCTATTGTGAGCTGTACTACCTACCATCCTCTACCATTCTACCTTCCCCTTCACGGAAGACCCCATGGAAACTATCATGGTTATTTGTAACTGCTGGGGGGGGGGGGGGGAGTCGCCCACTCGGCAACATCCCACAAAAAATTTAAACCCTCTACCTAAACCGCCTTCTCCCATATGCCTTTTCCTTCTTTGAAGTGCTGGGAATTGAACCGCTCTTCCAACGGGAGCTTGGCCTCAATGTGTTTCAGGATACCCAACGAAGCCTGATGGATGACATGGAAGTCCCTTGGGTGTGCTGTGGACCCCTGAATCTCCGTGAAATCCACCCATCGTGCGCCTCTTAGCCGCATGCAGGGCCGGCCTGCTTTTAGCAGGGTCGCCGTTAGGAAGAAAGTCATAATGGCGTAGTCAGTGGCCTTGTCAGTTTGTCGGATGAATCGTGAGGCTGATATGTGTGGCAGCTCAAAGAGGTCGTATCCAGGCCCCAACCATTTACGTGCTTGCTCTATTACCTCAGGGACTTGCAGGAGAGTGGAAACCTTGAATATCGGTACACCAATCTTGCCTTTCATCAGCAGTTTCACTCCATCCGGAGCCCACCACAACACTAAGGGGCAGACATACACTTTGCCTGCCTTCAAGATTTCTGATAGGTTAAACGTGATTGTCTCCCGCCGAGCGTTCACTGCCAATGCACATAGCGGCACTTCCGCCTCTTCCTCAACGTTGGTCCCTGGCATATGCGTCCTTTCCTGCATTTGAGGGCCTCTTGCTCTTCCTTCCCCCTGCTTTGTAGTAGATGCATTCGCTGAGTATCGACGTCCATGTCTCCCTTGGTACCTGGTTTGTCTTGCTGTTGCTTATCACCTTTTCCTGCCCCTTCCTCACCTTGCATCGCTTGTTGCTCCTGCCCGACTCCGGGCTATTCCTGGTCTAGGGCCTCGTCGGCCAGCAGATCGGGCCTCTCTTCCTGGCAAAAGTGAGTCGATGCCAAATTGCCCTTGCTGGCTTGCACCACGCTCGAGGGATGACCCCAATCATATTCCTGCTGGATCGCTTGCTTGTTCTTGGTAGACTCATTCGATTCTGATGAGTACGTCGACACTGGAATACATTCTGCAGATGAGCTCTAGGGCAGCCCCGGAACTACCTGTTTGACTCTTCTAAAGTGCACATGCGATTCTCGCTCCCTCTTGTCCCTTTCGACGATGATAGGTGTATCGTATCCGGACTGGGAAGGGGTTCGGTTACGCGATTCGCCGACATGATCAGATGTTCGAAGAGCCTCATCTTCAGGCACTCCGGCCTGCGCCCCTCCCACTGCCACTCCCGCCGCACTTGCTACTTCTTCATCAACCGGCTCCTGCTTAACCTCCTGTGCCTCTTGCACTGATTGACTTTCTACAATCCACCTGTTCTCCCTTTTCCATGGCGCGGCCAGCTTAGCCCTCCTGGTTGGGCAGGTGTTGCTCATCTCCTTAGCCTCTCTTCCCTGGTCGTTTGCCGCAGTCTTCGGAGAGTCGTCCATCGAAACTGGCCCGTCCACAGAGCATACTTTGAGGTTCCCGATCTCCTCCTCGACCGGTTCTTCCTTGACATGCTTGCAGAGCTCTGATGAGGTTGGCATGTACTCCGATGCCTTTCCTTTGGCTTCATTGACGGAGCTCCCGAGTCCTGCTTCCTTGGCGGCGCAATTATCTCCTACTTCCTCCGCACCATCCCCTTGGTTGAGCTCAACCTCGCCTTCCCTTTCCCTAGGTATGCCAAAGAGCATCGATCCTTCCTGCTCCTGCCTCTGCCCTGCTGCCGCCTCTTGCACCACCGAAATCCGGGCCTCCGCGGGTGCACCTGCTTGAGACTGCCGAGCTTCCTCTTCAGGCGGCATTCCACCCTTCTCCGGGGCGGCTCGCTGGGTCGCTTGCCCTTCTGGGTCAAGTGTTCCCTCCACCTCCTTTATCTTAGAGTCGGGGTTCTGCGATGCGGGGGACTTTAACACTGTCATGTCCCCTGATATGGATGCTGCTGAGGCCACGACAAGAGGAAGCAAACTCTGATGCCCTTCGCACAAGCATGGCCTCACTAGGATGTGGCGACTCTTTTCGCGCCCTGCACCCGGATCTCAGAGAGTATACCTTCTGCGGCAGCAGCCCGAGACGGCGAAGTTGGATTGATATGATATGGGCCATAGATCAATTGAACCAGCGATGTGAAAAGGCCTGCACGTTGCCCACGGCATCTTCAGATCATGCGGCAGTGCTGGCCTCATTTGCAATAGGCAAAATGGAGACGGGTAGACCACCCGCATCTGTCCCTGCGTGGGTCTTCTCCTGTCCGGACTATCGGCCGATCGTGCTACGCTTTTGGGAAGATTGGGCTGAGCAATGCCCCCAGGAAGAGTACCTCCCACGGATCACCGAGGCCATCGCCGCCCTCCGAAGCATGCTGCTGTCTAAGCTGCGAGTGCAACGCATGGCGCACCAGCGAATAGGACAAGAATACGTGGAAAGGTTGCTCATGCTGGACAAAGGGCCCGGAGATACTGATGAGGATGAGTGGTGGGCGGAGCAAGTGGAATTAGCACGACAATGGAGGGAATCGCAGATGGAGGACGCAACATGTTGGGGGCACAGGAATAAGGAGGCATGGATTGTGGTGGGCGAGAAGATGGCCAGACGCTTTTTCGCCGAACTTAAAAAAAAGAAAGCATCCACAGTCATGACTGCAATGACGCACCTGTTCGACCTAACAATAGGCCGGCAGGACACCACGCGGGGCATCCTCAAGTGTGTAACCGACTTATATAAGGACCTGCTCACCGAAGAAGAGACGTGGTCCTCAGAGGCCATGGCAACCCAGGCAGAGAATGAGGTGTGGCAGCACGTCCGAACCCGGTTGGATCTGGACTGCAGCTGCCGGCTTGATCAGGACATCTCCAAGGAAGAAGTGGAAGCAGCAATTCGGGAGCTATCGCGCCTCAAAGCATCAGGCCTCGACGGGATGCCGATCGAGCTTTTCAAGGAGTTTAAGTGTTTCTTCGCCACGCTCTTAACCCAGGCATTCAACGAGGCCCTGATGCACGACTCACTTCCCGTGGGCTTTGCGGACGCCTATGTTGTTCTGTTGTATAAGAAGGGGCCCAAGGAGGATGTTAAAAACTGGCGGCCAATTTCAATTTTGAATGCTATCTATAAGATATTGGCCAAAGTCATGGCTACCAGAGTCAATGGAGTGCTGCCCAGGCTGATCCACCCTACGCAGACGGGTTTCGTCCCTGGCCGGCAAATAGTGACAAACATCTTGCTGGCGCAGCAGTTGCTTGAGGAAGGTGAGGTGTCAGGGCAGTCACTGGCCTTTATCTCCATAGACCTCCAGAAAGCTTATGATAGGGTCAGATGGGAATTCCTACTGCAAGCAATGGCCAGGCGAGGTTTTGGGTCCACCTTCAGGGGATGGGTCAGGACTATGCTCAACCAAGCGTACACAGTCATGCAAGTCAACGGAGTAAGGTCGGAAAGGTTGAAAGTAACTCGCTCCGTGAGACAGAGGTGCCCCCTCTCCCCTGCTTTGTATGTAATCTACATCGAATCACTTCATGAGCTTCTCAGGGGGGATTTGAGACTGCAGGGCCTGCGGCTGCGGCAGGGCGATGAACTCCGATCTTTGGCTTTTGCAGACGACACGGGAGCTATCATCCTGCCCACGGTGCAGCAGCTCCGCTTCCTACAGGAGGACTTGGGAATCTTTTGTAAGTTCTCGGGAGCGCGAGTCAACTGGGAAAAATCGCATGGCGTCTTACCCCCAGATATGGAACCGCCCGAAGGTTGGGATCTCCCATCTGCCGCCGAAGGCCGGACGCGGTTCCTTGGGGCCAGTATCGCCCCCAGCTGGGGGGGCGTCGAACAAATGCCCATGCAGGCGGTGGCGGCGACATCCAAGCTTAACGCGTGGGCCAAGGCAGTGCACTTGGGAGTCTTTGGTAAAGCCCTGGTGATTAAGAACTCCATTCTGGCCACATTGTGGTATGCAGGGGCTATTCATATGTCAGGTAGGCGGACTTTCGCATACTTGCGACATGCCATCCAAGCTTATCTTTGGTCTAACAACGCAGATTCTCAAACCTCAATCTGCAGGGTGGCCTGGAGCAAGCTGACTCAGCCCAGAGCTGAAGGAGGCCTGGGCCTGCTGGAGCCACGGCTGCAGATGATGGCCCTCCAGATGCGGCACTTGGTATGGTATACCTGCTGAGAACGGGTGGGGAGCAGTGGCACTCCCTCACCACTCAGCATTTGGCGTACACCTTACATTTACCGGCAACACTTGTTGAAGTTACCCTCGCCAGTAGCGGCCTGATTGGGCATGTGGCACGCGGAATGGTCTGGTCTGGGCCACTGGCCCTGTGGAAAAAGATCCGATTGCTGAACTGCGAGCCTGCCACGGCGGACGCCGTTTTCAACCAGCTCCTTTTTTATAATCGCTTTATTTGCGACAGGCAGGGGGACAGCTTTCCATGGCAGGGGCAACCCGGCGCATTTGGCCGACAATGGGCAGAACAAGGTGTCTTTAAGACAGGCCACCTGTGGAACGAGCAGGAGAGGGAGTGGAAGACGGATGAGGTAATGGCCAGAAGCCTCCCCCACGAAGTCAGAAGGAATCGTCGGCTGGCTGAACTCCGGGAAGCTATCCTCACGCAATGGGTGGACTTACTGCGACAAGACCAACTAAATAAAGGAGAAGGGGTCAAGATGAAAGGTGAAGCTTCCCCTGCCCAAATCCATCGAGTAGAAGAAAGCCGGCCTGGAGACGGGTTGCAAGTCACAACATGGCACGTCGCCACCGGCTATCATGGCTTGGGAGAGCCGTTGGTCAGATGCGGGCGTGGCGGAACGATCTCCAGAAGTTCGGCGGAAACAGTATCGGTGTGCCAGGGGAGCAAATGGACATCAGACCATATGCTGCCCTACAGGCTCTCTGAGCGCAGGCGGAACCCGCAGGACTGGACTTGGCCCCGGCAGAATCACCTCGTGAAAAAGGTCGCCCTCCAACAGATAGCCACTAAGCAGATCTACAGGTCACTCCTCCCGAAAGTGGATGTCTGGGAAAATCTGAGGGACCGTTGGGCCAAAAGGGATTGGCTCCCGCCGGCCCGCCTGGAACAATGGACAAGAAAGAAGTGGAGGTGTCAATGCACGACATGGGCGAGCCTCCCGGATCAGAAACATGCGGGCCTCCTGTGGATGATAGCGCATCTGGCAGTTCCCACAGCAGAATGGCAGGCCTCTAAGAGGAAATATCAGGACGAGGAGTGTGCCGCAGGATGTGGAGAAACAGAAGACATCCCGCATCTCTTTGCGCGATGTCCTGTTGTACACGCGTTTTGGGTATGGTGGGCGCAGGTGATGGCGAACAGCACCCCATTCCGCGTTACAGAGGATGACGGCACAGGGATTTTGCTGGGAATAAGCATGAGCCCACAGGCTGACCAAGGGGGCCGACTGGCAAGTGAAACACTGCGCGCGGAGCTCCTCTGGACCATTTGGACCGCCCACAACGAATGCATTCGACAGAGCACGCAACCTGCCCTTGATAAACTCACGAGGCGGGCGGTGGATAATATCAAAACAGCGATCGCAAGTGACCTTGCTCGGTGCATTAAGGCGTCAGCCACAGGCGAAGAGCGTTTTCGGGATCGGTGGGCACCTTACGCCTCCTTGGTAACCCGTGGCGACCAGCCTGGGCGGCTGAGTTTCGGCCGACTTCTCCGGGGTGCAGTTCCATGTCAAACCTAATAAGGTAGGGCATGTAAAATAGGTAGAGGGATAGGAATAACATCACATTGGGCACTTTAGTGTACATTAGTAGGGCACCTTGGAAAATGCATGTTTGAAAATGCTGGGGTTTTACCTTCTCTTGCATCTGTCTGCAAGGCCGTTTGGCGCCAGGGGCTTCTGGGCCCCCGATAATAGTACCGCCAGGTCGAGAATTGGTTTCCTGTGTTTTCTCTTGGATAGGAGGATATTCTCTCACTCGGTTTTCATCGGCTTGCCCTCTTCTTGTTGGTCTCGCCTGCTAGTACTGAGTAGGTATGTACAAGACTTTGATAGCTCCATACGGAATGGTGTATACAACTTGTCTGCCCGAAGTATGCTGTGTGTTTTTTCTTCGCACTTGGAAGGGGCGTGGTTTAGATGCGATATACCCATTGGTAGGATGTATGTCACGTGTATGTCTAGTTAGTGCATATCTGCAGTCTTATTTGTCTAGAAATAGCGCGCTGCTAACATGGGAGACAGACAGTTGGACTCGAACTCGGGCATAGGAATAGCACAGAAAGGCAGGCTCAGGAGACTGCCAGCACCACCCCTCCTACATCCCCCCCCTCCCGAGCGGCCGCCCTGCTATGCGTCTGGGTACCATGGTTTGTTTCCCGGCTAGCAGAGCTGCCCCTGGTGTGGGAGGAGATCTGAGGGACGTGATGATGGTGGCAGCCCCCCCTTGCACGGCTTCTCGAGCCCCAAGGGTAAGGCCCTTCCCCCTTCTTCATCTTTGTTGTTTGGTCTATCCTTCCTCCTCCCTGCATGCTTGCCGGTGATAAGCAACCGGACTGTTGCCCCCCAGAATAGATGGGGCCTCTGTTTCCCAAAAAAAAAAAAAAAAAAAAAAAAAAACCACTTTTGTCTTCTTCTGCTCGGCCTCCGGTACCTGCACATCTACCCCTTCCAGGTGCGGTACCGGCCTACCCGCTACTTGACTGTTTTTCCCCGCTGCAACCCCTCAATGTCACGGCCACAGGTAAGTACCGGCCCTGAGGGCCCAACGAACGAGCAAGTGCCCTGACGGGCCACACACATACTCATGCCAACCAGCACTCAGACAGGCAGGGTCGCACACACACCCAGGCCAACCATCACTCAGACAGGCATGGTCACACACACTCAAGCCATCCAGCACTCAGACAGACATGCAGTCCAGCACGCGGGCACACACAGACTTAGTAGCAAGCGGGAAACTCGGCAGGGCATTCAGTCTATGGGCAAAAGTCAGAAATCAGCTGTGTGTTCCAGTCCATGTATGGACAGGTCGTCACACTCCTCACTCTATGCTGCCCCCAACCATGGACAGAGAGGTCAACATCGACGACATCGTTGATCACAGGGAGATGCCAGTTCCAAGACCGACAGGCACAGGACGTCCTCCAAAACCGAAGTTGCAGTACCGAGTTCGGTTCAGACATCACACTGATCCAAAGGAGGATAGATGGTTCACACGGGAGGAACTGATGCAGACCGCTCCACAGGTTGTCGCTCACTACGAGTATGGAGGACTATCGAAGTATGGAGGAGGGAATGTGAGGCACAGGGCCTCGATATGCCCTACAGGGCCTATTTTCCACACAGTCGGCCGCCCTAAGTGAAGGCAGGCCCGACCGAGGCTTACAGGCCATTTTGGGGTCACAACGCAACTGGGGAAATTCAGGCAGTTGCGCAGCGCCAGTTGGTTGAAAGCGCCCAGGCCCAGGCCGCCTTTCATTGCATGTAACTGAGGCAGGCCCTGGGCCGGATACACCAAGTGGACTGAACAAAGGCTGAGGGCAGTTGGGTACTGGTAACCACCACAGGCCCTGGGCCTGTTTACCTCGGACTGAGGCTCAGCCTCGTGGGCTCTACCGGAAGCTTCTGGGCCAGGGCCCAGTACCGCATTACTGCACGCAGCAGCAGGCCACTTCAATATAGAGAAGGGCCTGCCTACGCATTGGGCATTTGGGCACTGGCTGCATGCTGCGCAAGCGCCGCTGCGCTAACGCTGGCCAGGCGCTCACGGGCGAGCTGGAAGGAGCAGGCAGCCATAGCCGAGCTGCGCTGCTGTATGCTGGATGGGGCGCATGGTGGTTCTTGGGTGCATGTGGCATCTGTGAGTTGGAGAACGAGGTTTTGAGTGATACGAGAGACATACCTGGTGCTTGAAGCGTACGGCATTGGCTGAGATCTGCTCGTACTTCGGGGAGCTGTTGACGACATCAGCGGCATCGTAGAGTAGGCTAGATAGGATCTGCCATCTGTAGTCTGGCCGCCGATCGCCAGATAGGATATCAACATTGGTTCTTCGTTGATGATGATGAGACTATTCCAGGATTGTCAATGAGGAGTTTTTGCTGTGCTCTTATTTGGTGAAACTCGTGATGCAATTCTGCTATTGTTTCGAGGTCACGACTATCTGGTCTCATGTGTATGATGCTGTTTGATTTCTGAAGTTCGCTATTGCTCATCTTCCTTGCACTTGCTTGTATTGTGTGTGGATGGGGGGGATAAACAAGTAACCGCTGAGCAACGGCTGAGAACAAAGTTCGCAGTGTCTGGAGACAAAGAGTGGAAGTAGTCAGAATCAGGACCAGATTCATGCACTTTACAGGCCAACGAACAAATGAACACCCACCACCTTTTCTTCCGTTGTGGCTGGAGGTAAGCAAGCACCTGAGCGCTGGCTCTGAATGACAACGTGATGACGGTCATATCGGGACAATGGACGGCCAGCATGTCCTCTCGCGAAGCAGCTCCACCCCCGTGGTTGTCATCGCTCCTCTCTGAAGGTGGGAGAACCAGGACTGACCCATCAGGTGCCTTTGTTGACAGAAGAGGGAAGCTTACTGAAGAAGATATGGGGAGCAACTTTGCGGGCGCCATACCTAGCTGTACTTGTTTTTTTTTTTTCCCCCAGAGTGCAGGCAGACAAGCAAAATGACACAGACGACAAGCCAACCCTTGAATGCTCAGTACCCCTTTCTTCTTTCTTTTGGTAGAATGTTGAGTATCTTTAGTACCTTCAGACCAAAAAAAAACAAAAAAGCAACTCCACCCGACCAAGAAATAAAGTAGAAAAAACGCAACTGCACCCCAGCAAATTACCCTACTGTTATGATCCTGGCCAATTTCGAGATACACATCCACCGGAAAGTACAATGCCATCCAATTGCAGAAAGAAATGAATGAACTTGAGAGGAGAGAGAGAGGATTAGAAGAAGAAGAAGAAGAGTGAGAAAGAAGAAGAAGAAGATGTACACCAGCAAAGACAATGACAAGGCTCTTCTTCTTCGCCCAACAATCTCCTCCTCCTTATCTCCCCCTTCTCTTATTCATACAAGAAATAATAATACAATGTTGAATGACTGATCCAGAATCAATGTCCGAGTCCCTCTTCTACTGCAGGTATCACTTAAGGTCCACCATAGCCATGGCCGCCTCTCCCACTCTTCACTCTCATAGGCCGAGGCTATGGCGGACTACTGGGCTCTGCTCAGATGCCCAAAGGACAACCCAAAGCAGCTATGG